CGGGGCCGCGGGCACCAAGTTGGCCAAAGTCTCGGCGATCAGCACCGGCGGGCGGACAGCTCCCCGCGCGGCCCCGCTGGAGGGCGCTCTCGCTCCCGGCCGGGCTGCAGGGCCCAGGGCGAGACCCAGAGGCAGGTGCCAGGTGCCTGCGCGAGGGCCCACCCCGCTGGGACAGCCGGCCGGGCTTGCAGGCGTGGAGCTGCACCGGATCAGCTGGAAGCTGCCTCACGGCTGGGCTTTGGTTTTCCCCTGGGAGATGAGCGTGCTGAGTGAGCAGCCTGAAGCCTAGGACAAGAACCATTCCTTGGGGGCCAGCCCCGGCTACCCAGAGGCAGGTGCCAGGTGCCTGCGCGAGGGCCCACCCCGCTGGGACAGCCGGCCGGGCTTGCAGGCGTGGAGCTGCACCGGATCAGCTGGAAGCTGCCTCACGGCTGGGCTTTGGTTTTCCCCTGGGAGATGAGCGTGCTGAGTGAGCAGCCTGAAGCCTAGGACAAGAACCATTCCTTGGGGGCCAGCCCCGGCTCGCCGGGTGTTTTGGATGGGAGGACTCAGCTCTGCCCCAGGGAAGGGAGGGACCGAGGAGGTGAGGCTCAGCTGGGAGCCCGAAGGGAGTCTGCTCAAGCTGGGGGCAGAAGCCAAGTCCCTGCTTCTCTGTTCTACCCGCTGGGCCGTGGCAGGGGGTTAGACCCATGGACAGACCCAGGATTTTGTAAATGGGGGTGTGGGAGCGGTGATGGGCACTGCAGTGGTGACGGCACCCCTGCTCCTAGCTCTCCACCCCCCACTGGGGCAGGCAGACCATAGTATGGGAGCAGCACATGGGGACTTTTTAAGGCCACTAAGCAGGTAAGGATCCCCTCCCACTGTCCCTTTCTGCACCCTCTTCCTTCCCGATGGCAAATCTCCTCCCATTCCCTGTGTCCCCTGCTCACCATTGCCACTATCCTGGTTATTGCCACTTGACCCAGGAGCGGGGAAAGCTCCAGAGTCACTTCTGCCCTGCTCCAGGCAGGCTGTGTAGGGAGCTGGGCTTGGCTGGGGACAGCAGCAGCTGTAACAGGTGCATTCCCCATCACTGTATTTGCTCCTGGGCTGGCAGGGAACACCCAGAGGGACTGGGCAGAGAGGGGGAGCCCACCCACTGCTGCTGCTGTTGCAGCTGTCCCTGGCTGCACCAGAGCCTGGCTCTGGAGCTCCCCATGCCCTTGGGTCAGCCAGGGACAGTGGCGGTGGCAGGCGTAGGAGAGGCAGACATGCCACTGAGCATGGAGAGAGAGGGGATGGTCTTACCTATTTTAGGGACTTAAAAAAAGTCCCTAACTGCTGCTTCTGTGGCACTGTACAAAAGGGAGGTGTGACCATGGCACCGCACACCCCCTGGATCTGCCCCTGGTTGTGCCTATGCTTGGATGTCCAGTGTAAAGTGATGAAATTTCATTCACTTCAGTGGGCCGACATGGTTTTATACCAGGATCTAAACCACAGACTTCAGTGGAGTCACAGCAGCTGATGATCTAGCTCATTACTTCAGAAGATGGGCTCCCATCACCTCTGTTCACAGAACTAGAGCTGATAGGCCCTTTATTATTAAGCACCCAAAGAAGACAAGGTTTAATATGCATTTGAGTGTATTTGTTCCAAAGAGACTGTTATCTTAGAGATAAAACTCTGTTGGCCAGGCCCTGCCATCTTGAATCAGACAAAACTCCCACTAGAGGAAATGAAAGCTTTGCCTGAGTCAGGATGACAGGCTGAGACTCAATGCCACTAGCAAGGACAGTAACATCGAAACATGACAGATCTGTCACTCTTCAGGAATTCAAGGAGCATTCTCAATTCTGCAGAGTGCAGTTACCTGGGCTTTCAGAAAGCCCCAGTGATAAAGCTGAGATCCCTCCCGCTCCAAGAGTCTCTACCCACTTGAACGACAAGAAACTCTTCTTTAGCAGGTAGCAGTAAGGGGTCTCTGATGCATGGCTAAACACCATGTGGAGTCTGTCCTGCAGAGGGCAGTGGCACACAGGCACACATGGTTCCCTGCACTTTTTACTAGTGTAATATATCTTGACATTTAGGCTCCAGCCTGCGTTGCACAGACATTAAAACCCCATGTCTGTCAGTGGCTAACATTTCCCCTTTGTTTTACCCATCTGCAGTATGCTGTGCTCAAGCTGTTCTCTCTACCCCAGGGCTGATTACTTTTCAGCAGCAAAGTATCAAGTTCACAAAACACTGTAGGAGCCTTCAGGAAGAAAGGTGCTAAACTATTGGAATAAGTCATTCCCTTAAGCCACGGCGCTTACATAAACCTTGATATAAAGCTATTTGAGCTCGTTACAAACCTTACAAAATCACCATGTACACTTCATTCAATTATGCAACCAGGACACGATATTATATTCAGACCTCCAGCCGATAAAGTGTAATGCAATCCTCCCAGTTTCTGGAAGCCAGGGATGGGAGTGGGTAATACTGGGAAGAAAACTCATGGTAACTATTGTGCAGCATCTTCAAGGAAAGGTGCCCTATCCCCAAATTTTAAAAAAATGGGGAGAGGGGGCATCTGGATGGTCTGGGGATGTGTAGGCTTGATGAAGGCTGAGTAACAAACCACACTTCTGTTCCTATGGCAGAGTGTTACTTAAACAATAGACATGAGTATAGGTCTTTTTCTGGGGATTAATAGCCAGCTGAGACAAATTGATACACTTCAGGCACAGCCAGGATGGGGACCATTAAGCTCAATGGGTCATTAATCCCCTGCAAATGGTCTGTGCCAGGCTTATTCATATTATAAACTAACCATGGGGGGGAAAATCACAGAGGCGTATGGATTTTTTTCCTCTGGGTGACACAGTTTTGCTTGGTTTGTACAGAGTGTTCCTGAAGGATTCATTTCTTAGACATCAGCAG